GAAATTTGTTCGTTAGAGTTGTTCCACTCACGCAACGTTAAAGAATAGTACTTATATACAATATGTAACACAATATATAGAATAAAAAAGAATGTATAGTTATATACATATAGTAAAAATAAAAATGGAAATAGAAAAACTAAATCAAAATATAAACATAAGTGTAAATATATTCCACAGAACTGCTGACAGAAATTAAATAAATAGTAATGAGTTTTAAGATTGTGATGTTACAGAAGTTATAGATAATTACAAAGAATTACATAATAAACAAGTGGATTGCAAGTAGACCCGGGTATTGCACTTAATCGACTTATTGCACATTAACACTGTACAACATCACCCAACGGTGACATCACACTAAACTACAGCCCAATGTGAAATGTCAAAAGCTGCCTGTTTGTCAACGGATTTGTGACCTTCACAATCTTTTTCAAAGGAACAGAAGAAATAAACACGGCCTATGATGACATACCTGGTGGATTAGTGTTTATGTCTACAAACGGTGAGAAAAAATAAGTGTTCCCTTTTCAGAATAGACAGACTTCCTCTTTCTATAATGATCGAGACTTATGAAATGGAGTTGTACACTGGGATCTTTGTGCTTGCTTTTGTGAGAATTGAAACATTTTAGAAACATTCCTGCTTTGACTGTTTGATGTTTAACAACAGATTTAAAAGTTTTTTAGTTTTCCGAAGTTAAACTCAAGGTGCAAAACGCGGCAGCCAAGGAAGTAGCCATTATCTCCTTGCTTTTTTTGTTTTGTTTTTAGATATTTTCCACCAAGTTGCAAGTTACATTGTAACCGTTGTTCTCTGAGTGACTATCACTAAGACTATCTCTTCAGCCTGTTAAATGTCCGGAGAATGACTCCATCTGTAACTGGTTGGAGAGGCAGTCTCAATACGATAGAGAACTTCATAAAAAAATGCATTAATACTTTTCTGTCTTATAAAACAACCAATAAGATACAACAGAACAAAAAGATTAGTATTATTCTGTTTGCTTTGTTGCCAGGTGCGGAAAGCTTCAACAGATCAACAGCTACGTACAACATGACAGATTTCCTGGGTAAATAGATCAATGCTTAGCTTAAAATCTTACCCTAAATCTGTTCTGGATAATAATGCTTTTTGGTAAATGTTTTAATAAATATTCGTATTCCATATTCCACCATCCCTGATCATCCACCAGTGGAAAAGAAGACCAGTTAAGACATCAACATTTACGATCACACATTTTAAAATTGACCCAAATATTCTGATGCTTTATTTTTGGATAGTGTATATTCATTATATTTATATTTATGTATTTGTTTTTACAGAGACATTTCTACCTAATGAGTCCACGTATTCCTTGATTACCTACACCATTATCCGTGGAAATACTAAAGGTAACTTTAATTATCAGCTTCACATTTTGATTTGCATTGTATTAAGAGTAAATACATATGTACTGTAGGTTTACTTGGTCAAAGATTTGGTGTAATACACAATACTTAAAAAGGTGGATTGCATCCCCAAACATATGAATATTTGCATTTGCTGCTGAGACAGTTGGTCACATCTGAAGATACAATTCAAATTTGGTCATAATTAAAAACTTTGTTCAATAGTCATCATCATCTGTCATCGTCATCATCTTTTTCATGATCGTCATCGGTCACTACTATTAATGTAGTTGTTGCTACTGTTGTTGCTGTACATCTGTTTGTCTCTCTGTCTCTCTGTCTCTCTCTCTCTGTCTCTGTCTCTCTCTCTGTGTCTCTGTCTGTCTGTCTCTCTCCCCTCTTCTCCCCCCCCCAACTGGTCAAGGCAGAACAACCACCCACCCCAAGAGCGAAGGCCTCTGGTCCTAGGTTTCCTGCAGTTTTTCCCTTGCCCCCGTCGCCAAGTGCTTGCCTCATGGTGGTTACTTTTGTCTCTTGTAATGTTTTAAAAAGGAAGTTTCGGTCTAGAAACTGCTCTATTTGAAAAGTGTCCTGAGATAACTTCTGTTATGAATTGGCGCTATACAAATAAAATTGAGTTGAATTGAATTGAATTGAATAGATATAGCTAGTTTTTATTAATGGCCCCAAGGTGGAGCTATTGTTACACACACATGCAATGTGGCTTTATGTACAATATCCCCAAATTTGATTGCAATACAATACAGTGTTTATGAACTATGGCCTGTTAAGTGCATCAGGCAACGCCTTCAAATATTTGGTAACCAGTTACAGACAAATGATAACAATAATAGTGATACCCAAACAAAAAACCTATACGTTTATCTAATTATTATATACCAGTGTTGAAGATTAGATCTGCCAAAGAAGCACAAAATGTCTTTGCATCAATCACTCAATTATTGTCAAATTATTGGACTTCACCAAAAACGTATTACTAATAATTTATGTCCTGTAAAGCTATGCCTGGTATCTACAGCACTGATCTATGCCTTGTATCTATAACACTGACCTCTGCTTTGTATCTATAAGCACAGCCCCCTGCCCTGTATCAACAACATTGACTTTTGCCATGTATCTATAGCACTAACCTCTGCCCTGTATCTGCCCTGTGCTCTGTAACTTAGTCTTATTGTCAAATTAATCAAATATCTATTAACTGTCTCTGAAAGACAATTAGTGTCAAATAATTGGACTTTACTCACAGATGAAAGTGATAAAAATTCTTTGTTTTTTTTCTCAATGGGCAGATTGGAAACAAGAGTGACCAACGTTGGACCAGAATATTGTGCTGCTGTCTGTATGAAAACCTGCTTCGGCAAGAGTTGTCTTTTACGCTGATGATTCACTGTTATACCTTTCATTTAAACCACATGACCTTAACAATCTAAATATTCTGCATTCCTGTTTACCCAATGTCACAGACTGGATGACAGCTAGCTTTCTACATCCTCATACCAGAAATTATCATAGCTTGTTTTTATAAATTACAAAACATCTCCAAGATATGACACAGGCTCAGTTTTATTGACACAGAAAAAATCAGAGATGCGTTTATATCATCACACCTGGAATACTGTAACTCTCTTTTTACCAGCTTCCACTCCAACTCAGTCTCACAATTGCAATTAAACCAGAACTCAGCAGCCAGATTATTGACCAGATCTGCCCATAAAGTCTAGAATACACTTCAAAATGTTATTAATTGCCTACAAGTCCATCCATGGTCTGGCTCCAGATAATATCAAATAACTTGTAAGCGCTTCTTGCACACTCACCTTTACAAGATGGCCTATTTTCAAAAATGTTTTACCTTTCCATTGTTTTATGGTGTTTTATGTCATAACATATTGTATTTTAATTGTGCTTGTTGTAGTATTTTTATATCCATATATTTTGCAGTAGTATTCTATATAAGAGTAATAGTTATATATCTGCTCTATATGAGATCACTTCTTAGAATTGCATCGTATTTGTCTATATATGTGGTTATCTCCTTTAATTAGATTTTAGCCAGTTTTATATTAACTTACTTCTTTCATTTTACATTTGCACCTTCTCAGCTCAGTGCTGCATGATTATGTACTCATGTTCTTCATTTTGTATGCTTATAGGGGGACTTACACAGGTTTCTCATTTTAATATCTGTTCTGTATCTTTTAATCTGGACAGCATGAGCATATAGGCTTGAAAACTGCTGTATAAATAAAATTATTATTATCATATGAAAATATGAGGGATACGAATTATATTTGTCATGTTTTTTGCTTTTTTCATACATGAAAAGAAAACCTGCCTTCTCATACCTCATTCCTTGTCTGTGTTTAAAACATTTTTCTTTTTTTAATTAAAAAAAACCCTGATCATTTCCAACAGCAGTATTGGGTCCCCATATATTAGCAACTTCTACATTTGGGATTAAAATGGAGACACGGAACAAAAAGCTTTGGACATCAAGTATCTGACTTTCCATAATATAAGATATGAGTATTTACTACAGTACTTGCTGTAAGAATTTAAATGTTTTGTGATTTTAACAAAGTTAAACAAATGATTTGTTGGCATTCTAACACATTACAGCTGAGCTATTACTAGCGCCATCATAGCCATTTATTAAAGCCCATAAAAACCAGACATAATAATAAAAAACACAAAATGTTGCTGAGTGAGGTTAAATTCTGGAAGTTTCTAATTTGCATTATTAAAATGTTTTCTCATTTCTTTCTTATGTCTATTCTTAATAGTGTGATATCATATAAACCCTCTTCCTTTTCGTGACATCCAACCTCACACCATCCTCCACCCACTGACTTTCTGTGATGAAAATAGTTTTGTTGGGTGGACACATAAGCTGTCTTTCATTCTCTCACCCACACTCACGAATCTTTACTTCCTCTGTGAGGCAGACTGACCTCAGTGATTCACCTACTGTACATGTTCCTCTATACATTTAAATGTTAACCGAGCCTGTAATACATATAAACAGGTACACAGAATTGCATATAGTCGTTAAAATATAAATCTGGAACATGTTTATTTTTTATTTGTACATATAACTTGCCTTGAATTTGACAATAGACCAAATGTTGCTGCTGTGAAGACATTTTGCGGAAATTATATTTTTGCTAATATTGCAGATAAGTGGTAGCTAGCAAGGTTTGCTATGTTAGGTTTAACTCTTCAAAGTCACTAAGCACAGTAGTGAGGACACACAATAAATACTTCAAGAGAAAATATGATCTTGTCCTTGTTTTTCTTTATCTTTACAGACAAACACGTTACTTCACAATAAAAGTCAGCTTGTGTTTCAACAGTTAAATGCTTTTAATGTGAAGCTGCAGCATTAGGAAATATTGGGTTTGCATTAGCAGTAGCTTAAACAACCTTTATCAGGGTATTGTGCCACAAATATTCAGTTTGTAGTGTCAGTGAGACACAAAATACACAATAAAAAGTTACCACCCAGCACTAAATGAGGAAACATTACTGGTGTTTAACAAAAAAAGACACGTTGAGAAAGAGGCTTTCTTAAGAATTATGTAGTTTCCTGTTTTCAGCCCACACAGAAAATGTGATCAGACATTATTGTGTGTATTGAATCATTTCAGTGTGTATCAGGATGAGGGTGAACATCTTCAGCTGGCTGTTAGTCTTTGCTCTGGTCTGTAATGTCAGCGCAGGTAAGAACTTTTTAATTAATCTGTTATGTATAACGTTATCGCACCTTTCTTGATACTCTATGTTCTGCTGTTTGTATTCATTGTCATAATGCACATGTGGGCCACACTCTGAGGCCGTGCTTTATTTTGGGCTTGTATTTCGTGTCATTGATGTATAGTTTATATTTAATTTAAAGAAACACAAATTAAAAGAATCATATGAAATATATGTGTACTCTGCACTTTAGAGTTAAATATTCTGAATCAGCTTTATGAAGTATATGAGCGTATACAAGGAATCTGACTCCAGTTTGTCGTTGCTCTCAATGTTACAGTAGAACAGTTGACAGGAAGTTGGAAACAGATACAAAGCTAAAAATAAGAGCGGTAAAAATAAACATTTGACTGCATAGATGAAGAAATAGATATATATATATATATAAATGAATAATGAACAACAAGAAGAGTACTGGAATAAATATTGAATGATTAGATTACTTTATATACGTAAAACAGGTGGTTATGTATACTATGTCTGTGTAGATGTCTATATATCAGTCCCTCCAGATTTTTACAAACTTTATTTTTTATTCTGAAAAAATTGTGATGCACGTTCCAATTTCCAATGAAAATTGCAAAAATAGTTGCAGTTATTGTTTACTTTTTGTATAATTAATTAAAAACTGAAGACTTGTTCCAGTAAGAATAACATTGCACTGTTTGGAGGGTGAATGTAAGACATTCCTGTCATACATGTCAGCTTGGTCTGTAGCTTCACAACGAGAAACAAGGAAGTGAGTTTGGTGACTCACCGTTTTGGGCAGGAACCTACAGTGACCGGACACAAGTGCAAGAATTCACAGGAACTGGTTGAATTTAACTGTTGTATCTACAGTATACAGCGTTCATGATGTATGTTTGATGATGATCATAAATGTTAAAACATTTCAGTCTGTGTGTTAAACGGTCCAGTGTGTAGGATTTAGTGGCATCTAGCAGTGTAGTTGCAGATTGCAACCCTCTCCCTTCACCCTCCCTTTTCAAGCACGAAGGAGGGACTACAGCAGTCTAACTGCCCTGTTTACAGCCAGTATCCTGTTTGTCCGTTCTGCAGAAACATGATTTTTCATAAGGCAGACTCCACAGAAGACGACCTACAGTGTCTGTACATATAAAAGGCAAAAAACACAATGATTCCTGAAAACATACCTATGAATAATATGTTTAAATTCTGCCAATAGATCGTCCTCAATGTTACACACTGGACCTTAAAAGTATAAAATATATCATTTCCAACAGACATCTTATTAGATAAGATATGCTCAGAAAATAACTTCCAATGGATATTTATTTATTGAAGAAATGTGTTTCTTTTTCAGAAATAACCCATAAAGTAGTCGAGGAGAAGGACTCTGTCA